GCGATTCAAAAGAAGCCTTGACAGGGGCTGGTGATGGGTTTGAGGGAAGGCAGCAGGGGCAGTGAGCCAGGAGTGGCCACCTGGAAGGCAGGAGGACCCTGGGGCGAAGGTGAGGGGTCAGCAAGGACGCGAGGGATGTTCAGTAGAGGAGGGTGGTCTGGGAAGCAACCTTGAGGGGCTGTCAAGACCAACTCAAGACCTGACTCTCTACGCAGTAGGGAGCCATGGAAAGTTTCTGAGGAAGGTAGTGCAGTAAGGCAGAAAATTGTGTCCCTAGAGGAATGAGTCCGGTAGAGGATGATGAAAGAATTTACTACATCCATTCTTTTGAATCATTACTCTGAGGGAGTAGACCAAAAGAGGGAGGTGAGAAATCTGGGAATAAACTCCCTACAGAGGAAAGTTTATCACAACCTCATAGCAGAGAAGTGCTAGTCCTTCCTCACTGGACTCCTGGGAATCCAAGATAATCTGATGCCAAATCTAGAGAAGGAGCTTGAGGCGGGAAAAAATGATGGATTCAGGCATCCATCACAGAAAAAATATGCCATTTCTCAATTAGGAAGAAAATAAAGCATTATTTGGCTAATATTTTGTTTAGGATTTAAATGTAATTTACTTACATAAACACAAGAGGGAAAGAAACATAGATGATCAAGCCCTTATAAGATCATGTCACTGTCCTTTCATTTAACTGGAAAACGCAGGGCGATACTCTGAAAGACAGATCACCATAGGCGCCTTAAAACAGCATGCTGCCCTGGAATTTACATTATTTCTATTTGCCAGAAAGACACCGTGTTCCTATGTGAGAGAAGAACCCACTGGGGGAGGGCCCTGCAGGCAGGCACTTGATAGAGTGAAGTTTTCTTTGCGGAAGACTTCGTCCCACATGTTCTTGCAGGAAAGGGAGACAGCAAGCGCCATCACCGGAGCCAAAATACAAGTTTCAGATTCCTTTAGAAGTGACAGGTGAGGGACTAAGGAACTCACAGCGACAGCGAAAACCAACGGAGGGTCTGACCTGACAGTGAGTAAGGTGCTGAAGACGCCCAGAAGTCCCAGCTGTGAGCGCACCCTGCGTAGGACTGGGAGCTGAGACCCAGGACTCAGAAATAGGATTCTATTAAAATACAGAACACCTGCCCACTTCACTGAGCCTTGTCTCCACAGGAAGACCAGTTTGTAGGAGGGATACATTTTTCTCCTCCTGTTACAAAATACCGTAATACACTCTAAATGAGAACGTGTCTTGTCACTTCTATTTATAAAATTCTTTTAAAAGCCCCATGCCTTCCTGACTTAGGAAAATACACACAAAAAGTCCCTGTCTTCAAGCTGCCAAGCTATAACAAATTTCTAGTTTTATGCAGAAAGGAAATTAAAAAACAAACAAAAAAACAGTGAAGCCCTGGTTTTGCGGTAGCAACTAGTGCTTTCAATCATGTTTTTTAGGTGAAAAAGTAACGTGACTGAGTAGCTACTTCGCTGCTGGTGCATTTTCTATACTCTCTGTTGTATGAAATAGATGGAGGAGTTTTTTCCCCTATGCCTTGTCCCAAATAAATACCACTCCGTCAACTAAAACACAGTATGTATTTATATAGCTATTCAGACAAGCTAACCTTTGAATAAGACTGACAGGCTCACTTCTCAAGTTGGTCTCTCATTTGTTGATTCAGTATGGTTGTATTTACAGAGTTCAGGCTTTTCTAAAGAAAAGTGTATTTTTACGCTGAAACTACAGACAGAAAGATTAAGAGCACGTCTTCCTAGAGTATACATCCTCGAGAAAATGGAAGCAGTCACAAGAATGTGCTCTGAGATTTTAATGTTTTTTCTCTTCAGCTGTTTTGCACTTAACCGTTGTTATTTCAAGACACTCACCGTGTTCTTTAAAAACTACACCACTTATTAACTTTTAA